TACTATTCGGAAGTATATTGCCTCATTAAAAGGGACAATTTCTTTTTTGCTAAAAGTGTGCACACATGTTATTACTAAGTAGGTCAATTTTTTTGTTAGAATGTTACATGCTTTTCCTGGTAGGAGGTGAGATATTGAATCTATATTATATCAACATTTTCCATAATATACTAAGAAGAAAATACCCCCTTCAGTGTCGTAGAGTGAGACCAGTCATTGATAGGGCACTTGCATCATAGGGGAGGGGGGGGGGTATCACAGCCTTTTCACACACACAGCTAAAATTCATCGTATCTAGAGATGATTAGTATAAACGTGTTTAACTCAACAGTTTTAAACATGTTTATAGAAAATTTTCCCTGTGTGAAAATCGTTTATACGATGTTGGGATAGATACGAAGTCGCGATTCATACGTCCCTAAAAGCAGGCTGCAGATACGAAGTTCGTATCTAGAGAGCTGACATTTTGTTTGTGAACGGTTATTCGTGTTTAAACTGGATGGAGAGTGCGCTTTGATTGATATGACATGACCTTCAATGCGCAATGGCACTACTGCTCATTTTACGAGCAGTAGTTAATCACGAAACGATTAACGATCGCACCGAAATTTCTGTGTGTGAATGATGTCGTATGTACACTGATTAGTTTAAAGCCCTTTAAACTAATCATGTTTATAGAATTTTAGCTGTGTGTGAAAAGGCTGTCAGTCATACTGAATGGATGAAATGCAAGAGACATAAACCTACGAATGGGGGAGGGTATGGGAGGGGCTAGCCTTGTTACAAACCTATGTCTTGCTGATCAAGCTTGTCTCAAACACTTTAAATAGTTAACTGGACTACACTCTTTAAAGCTTATCTGCACTAGTTTACAGGAGGGATTAGAATGCCCTGCAAGGTCACTGGACAGGTGGTTATCTCATCAATTGAGCTCTCAGTTAACATAAGAAAAAGAGGACATGGGGGACCAATGGACACCGATTAGGCCTTGTTTGTAATATAGAGGGCGCAAGTAGCTACAAGTAGTGCAGTGGGCCTTTGACTCTAAACTGTTATCCTTCCCATAGAATTAGTATAGGGATCACTCGGTTCCACACTGTTAACGGGTTAATATGAATGTGATGAATGTGAACAAAAACGAGATTAATGAACTATTATGCGGGTTATTTCCTTACATGTTGAGATCTAAAAACAGTGGCGGATCCAGGGGGGGGGGCCGAAACGGCCGCGGCCCACCCCCCCCCCCCCCCCCCCCCCTATTGGCGGCGCAAAAGAAAGGAAGAAAAAAAGAAAGGAGAAGAGGAGAAAAAAAGGAGAAGAGAAAAGAAAGGAGAAGAGAAAGGAAAATAGAAGAGAAAAGATAAATAAAAAGCCCCCCCCCTCCCTCCAACTCCGGGGTCGGAGGGACCGAATTTGTGTTCCCTAAATTTCCGATAAAGAGTTACTTTTCACGAAACAAAGTCCGGCCCGCAATACACAAAAAATCCGGCCCGTACTGACTTTACACACCGGAGACAGAGGGGTGCTTTCAAAGAGAGGGAACATACATGTGCATACCCTAGATAACACTGAGAGGGTGAGGGGGGGGGGGTGAGGAAAAGAAAAGTCGGTGAGAAAGGGGGAAAGGCAAGGAAATGGCGCTAAGTGACAGTAACGACAAATATGGGAAAACTGTAATCGGGAGATTAGGGGACATTCCAGAAGGCTCATTGGCAAACGTTATTGAATAGAGGGGGCCGGGCCGGCCGCATAAAATCTCGAGCCGCGGATTCAAAGTTAAACGTTAAGAACAGCCCCTGCGGTCATCACTCTTTAGTGAGAAATTTGAAAAGGGCACAATATTTTGGATGTCTTTTAAATAGAAGTTATATACTCAACAGTCAAATTCTAAATTAACGGTAGGGCCGCTTCACAACTCTTATTTTGCCCTTCATTTGGATTCAGCTCGTATCGACTCGCTTGTGATTGTATTAGAACTCATGTTGGTGGTAATCATGGACAGGGGCGGCGATCCTGGGCCCGATATGGGGACAAGTCTCCCAGGAAATTTAGAAATATAGCTAGAAATAAATATAGCGGAAAGAACGTACATATCGGGCTTAGGGATTTTTAGAATGCATAATTTCAGCATTCAACATTGCAAAATCTCGCTTGGTCGCTACGCCCCGGCCCCGGCCCTCGCCCGATAACACAAAATTATGACGCTCCCGGCCGTGATTTATCCATGGTAGGTGTAATAGAGACCGGTACAACGATTAGTCTTCTTTCTCCAATAATTTAATGAAATGTCAAAGCTTCCGCGCATCGCTCGGGAGGGGGGGCAACTGAATTCAGACAAGGATTGGGAGTCGAGAATGGTAAAACGAATCATCTTCTTTCTCTAATAATTTAATGAAACGTCAACGTTTCCGCGCTTCGCTCGGGAGGGGGGGGGGGCAGGAACTCAATTCAGACAAGGATTAAGAGTCGAGAATGATAAAATGATTCGTCTTCTTCCTCTAATAATTTAATAAATTGTCAAAGCTTACGCGCTACGCGCGGCCAAGGGAAAACTTAATTCAGACAAGGATAAAGAGTCGATGACGGTACAACGAATCATCTTCTTTCTCTAATACTTTAATGAAACGTCAACGTTTCCGCGCTTTGCGCGGGAGGAGGGGGGGGGGGCGGGAACTCAATTCAGACAATGATTAAGAGTCGAGAATTGTACAAAGAATCGTCTCCTTTCCCTTATAATTTAATGTAACGTCAAAGCTTCCGCGCTTCGCGCGGGAGGGGGGAGGGGGCGGGAACTCAATTCAGACAAGGATTAAGAGTCGAGAACGGTACAACGAATCGTCTTCTCTCTCTAATAATTTCATTAAACTATGAAAGGCCAAAGCTTCCGTGCTTCGCGCGGGAGGGGGGGGGGGGTGAATTCAGTCAAGTAATAAGAGTCGAGAATGGTACAACAAATCGTCTTGTTTCACTAATAATTTAATGAAACGTTAATCTTCGGGGGAGGGGGGGGGGGGTTAGCGAGCTACCCGCATATGATTTTTTGATATCTTTTCTCGTTTATTTTGGTTATAAATAACACTTTCACAAAATACATATTTTGCTCAAATTGTTGCTCGCTCACTAGCCGAATCGTGAAACCAGAAAGTTACTTTTTCGGATAAGAGGCTATAGCCCCCCCCCCCCCCCCCCCCGATGAAAATGTCAAAAATTGTAATGGTATGGTGCTTCTAATATTACCTTGAAAAAAACGGTCGGCGCAATTCCAAACTTCCGCCCCCCCCCCCCCCCTCCCCCTATTGGAAAATCCTGGATCCGCGCCTGAAAAAGGTCTCTCGATTCACCTTAACCTCTCCTCTCTCATTTTCTCTCTTCCCCCTTCCCTCATATCTCTTTGTCTCCATCTTATCTTTTTATTTATCTCTCTCACTCTCTTTCCCTCTGTATTATTCTTTGTATCTCTGTTGCTCATTTTCACTCTCCCTTTCTCCATTTCTGTTTCATTTTCTTCTTCTCTCTGCTCCTCTATTCAAAGGATCACTCTACCAAGGATTTACCACAGAGCTACCATGTCGTAACACCATACATGTATCTCTACAACACGTTGTAACTTATCTCCCTCTTTTCCTTCTTTATCTCTTTGATGCTAATGAAGACGCATTAAAGGGGAAGTCCACCCTGAAATTAAGTTAGTTTTAATAGGAGTAGAAAAATGAGAGAAACAAGTCAGTGAAAGTTTGAGCAAATTCAGATTAAAAATAAGGAAGTTAGGATTTTTGAAGTTGTGATCAATCAAACACAAATTGGCAACTCTATGACGTATCATGCGAGCTCAACTTCCATTTGCTCAGTACTAAAAAAAATCTAAAATTGTCATTTTCCCTCAAGAAAAATTTCAACCATACATGCACCCTAAATATAATAATTAAAAATATGTTTCTATACTCCCCCTGCAAGGATCAAATATATATTCCGTCATCAATAACGAAGAAAACATGATTTTATGGAATATTATGCACAAAGCAAATGAAGGAGAGCTCGTATAATAAGTCACAGAGTTGCCAATTTGTATTTGATTGATCACAACTTCAATAATTCATAACTTTCTTATTTTCATTCAGAATTTGCTCAAACTTTCACTCACCTGATTTTCTTATTATTCTGCCTCTATCGAAACAAACTTATTTTGGGGGTAGACTTTCCCTTTAAAGAGGATATGGCTGAGGAGAGTGGGGGAGGGGGGGGGGGTGACTGCCTAAAGAGCCTGAGTCAGTTAGTAAAAGAGAATGGAAAAATGATGGGGAGAAAAGGTGAAAGATTCCAAAAACGTTCCCTTCCTAATCTCACACGTATACCCAATAATCATCATACGAACCAAGGCTTGTATATCATTTTTGTAATACTTTGACCTGTTCCAAATTTGTATGGTGTTGCTATATGAAGTTAATCCTTTTTTCTATGTTTCTATTCATTACCTACAATTTTATCAATGCAAAGTATTTTTGTAATCAGGCTTTTAATTTTACTATGTTTTAGGCCTATTCACAATTGCAATTTGTATGGACAATGTATTTCAATCATTGTATAACATGTAGAATTCAGTATTTATACTGCGAAACATGTTGGAATAAACCTTCATTGGATTGCAACAGATATTAAGAAATACACAGGAAGGTCGGGCAGAAAAAACGAATGAGAATGATGGACAGAAAAACAGGAAAAAAGAAAGAGAGTGGGTGGCATAGAAAATATTGAGAGGTGCAGCAGGGGCAGCTAATTTTATTCTTTCATACTTTGTATCCTATGTGCCATTCTATTGTATCATCTATTGTATGTTTGAAATGCCAAATAAATAATAATAATAATAAAAATAAAGAAATATAGAGAAAGGATCGGGTTTTGTTTAGGGGATAGGGTGAAATTCAAAGAGACAATTAAATAAAGGGAATGAAAAAGGAAGCGAAAAATACAGACATGTAAAAAAGAAATGAGGAGGGAGAAAATGAAATACAAAGAGAGTGAACAAATATGAAATGAAAGAAGGGGCCAGAGAAGGAAAAATGGTGAGGGGGTATAGGACGAGGACACCTGATTAAAACCACAAGGAATAAGGCTGTACCCGTTTCAAAATAATCATTACAAAGACACAACAAATTTAACGTTGAATGTTAGAAACACAGACTCTGGTGATTTGGTGAGGTGCTTCATTTAATGTTTCGAGTATTACACGTGATAATAATTATTTGTAATGACTTTTAATAATAAGCTTACTAAAATAATAAATCATTTACTTGAATTATCACTACATATTTAATGTTGAAGAGGTGTGGTCCAGACTATTTAGACCTTTTCCCAAATTGATCGAACCAGAGGAGATAGTGGCCCCTTATCACGTCGGCCAGCTTATTTTGATGTTCCATGTCTCTCTGACTCTGTCCTCGAGAGGCACGTTCAGCATCTGTGATTGTGAGAAGCCAACAAATAACGTTAATCAACACAAGGACCTCTTCTTTATCTTTGTGCCCCCCCCTCCTTTGAACATCATAGACATTTTTAAAGACAGTCAATATTTCTGCACATTGAAAAGGGATAAATTTGCACTGGCCTGTCTGATCTACTTGAAAGGCCTAACCAAGTATACGCCGAAATGGATTGGTTTGTGTCTGGAAAGATCATTTTGTTTTAGGCTTTGTTTGCTTCCTTAGTGAGATAAAACACATACAAAACAGATGCCATGATTATAAACGAATATTAAGTTGTTGTTTTTTTGCTGGATATCCATTCCACTAACTGATGGAATTAATTTAAAGATTCCAAATAGTTCCAAATCTCATCATAACTACCCCAAACAAATCATAATACCACTGTGTTCACAATCAGCAGCTGATTATAGAAATTCAAAGAAAAATATGAGGGAGGGGCGAGGGGGGTGGACACCTCGCGCATCCTCCATTTTCTTTTGTAACCATTCCTATATTAACCTGCTGCTGGTGTGTTTTCACTTGTACTGCCATTTTATAAAAAATCCTATCGAAAGGGATGAGGTAAAACATTGAGACCACTTCGTTTTCACAGTACTAGAGAGAGAGAGAGAGGGGGGGGGGGGGCAATGTACCGCCTCCTTCGACCGTAGCTGAAATATAATACAATACACTTTATTGAACTATATGTAATCATATGGAATTACCTGAAGATTTTTCAAAATACTTAACAAAAATCAACCGAGGGTCATTTCTATATAGCCATGTCCATACATTTTGAAACATGCGAAAATGATGTTTATCACAATAGTTGTCACAACATTGTTGTTATAATGTAGTGAATTTCATGCCTGCAAATTTGACCAATCCGAGGCCTAGAATCTAGACATGCAGTGTATAAAGTATATTATATTCATACATCACATAACGTGAAAACTTGGGGGAGACTTTGGACTTTATACTATGTTAAATACTTTTCTTACCACTGGTTACTGGGATTCCAACCCGCGTGTTACACACACACACACAAGCATACATGATCAGCAAACGAGTTTTATGGGATTTTTGTATTGAAATAAAACTTGAGTTGATTTCTCGAATGTCTTTGCGATCGTATTTATGATTGAGGTTCTTGAATTGCCTTAATAGGGACTTTTAGATTTGCGTGGACTGATACGTGGTACTTCCATTCACGGCAGTGCTTTAAAAGGATGTCGATCGTAGCATAGACCTATTGTCTTCGTGCGAATCTAAAAGTCCCTACTTACGTGTCATTGGAGCCTCCTTTTACACTCCCCGTCCCCACAGACCAGGCTGCTCAGATTCAAGATCTACCATGTTACCTGATGAACATAAAACAAACACAGAATGGACCATTTAAACAATCGACCCCAGAACTGACGTAATAACATTTTCTCTCACCCGAATAATTACTACATGCGAAGATGAGTTAGGTTGCTTTACAACTTTACTGCTATGATTCTTGTTACTTTCTTACATATTGTGTCTGTTGCTACTTTTATTACAACTTGCGTGTTGGCAACATTTCTGTATAACACAATGTGAGTTACTGTACCGATTTTTTGTCTTCCTGTATCTTTAATCACACCCTAGCACTCCAATTCACAATTGAACCCTGGCTTTACTGTTTATCAAAACGTTTGATATTATTTCTTCTTCTTTTACTTCTTGTCTTTAATAAAGAAAAAAAGAGCGCAATCGTGATATATTCCATTCTATTACTACATCTTGTCTAAGTCTCAGCACCAGTTCTAGGGAGTAGGATAGGTCGAGTGTAAAACAGACTTGAGAAATATAAAACATGATGACAAGTTTTCACGAAACCAATGGCTTCCGCAACTTGTCGAGCTTCTTTTGTCTCAGTTAAACAATCCACGCACCGAACGTTCTACCAAATGAGAGTCCGGATTCGGGAATAATACAATGGAAAAGTATTAAAACAAACTGAATCGGATTTGCAGCAGATAAAGCACCAATAAAAATGTCCAAGTCAATCTAATTC